AAGATAGAGGATACACATGACGATTTCAGAAAGTCACGCAGGGGGAGCTGACACAGGGAAGGACGAGGGGCTTAGCTGAGCCAAATATCCTGCCTTGCACAGTTGATAGATGAGGCTACATTTGTCATCCAGGGTGCAATCCTGCACACACAGAGCTGGAGGAGGGGAGTCCTTCCTGACAACTGCACTGATTAGCTGGTGCCCTGAAGAATGACGTCTGATTACCTTTATCTCTGGCTGCAGAACTGCAAATGTCACTAATGGTCATAAAATCATCCAGTCTTTTTCAAAATACAACCAAAGTAAATTAATCTATTGAGCACAGTTTATTCAATACTTCTTACTCTGGCAAAACTCCCAAAAAATCATTTGCTTGCTGCATGTCTCCACCATATGGTGTCATTCAATGCAGACTTTCTTTCCTGCATTGAAATCCAAAATTTAATGGAGTCAAGTCACCTACAGAGTTTTTCCAGCTCAAACCTACTAATGTAGTTTTCTGTCAAAGAGGTCACACAGCTCTTTCCAGTTTGATACATAAACCAATACCAGCATGATTCCTCTTTTCATAATTAAAATCAAACTCCTCTGGTTTCAGCAGGTTTGAAAGGAGTATTTTGCCCTGTGCAGAAAAGAGCCAGTGCCCAGCACTGGACAATGTCAGCAGTCTCTGTCTAGTTTCAGAACTTCAAAGTCTTGGCCAGTGATTGGTATACTCTCCTATCTGCAGATGATTTCTCCTATCAACCTCTCAGCAATCAGTAAAATAAACCAAAAAACATGACATTGAACTGTACTGAAAACTAAAGTAGTGAGACATTTATAATCCTTGAAAGCTTTTTTTTTTTACAGGACCATTTTAAATAGAGCCTTACTGCCAAGGAACATGGGACAAAAGAAATAATTTCTAGGTATGAGGTATGCCTAGAGCAGGCAAGACATAGATGCTGCTTTTCCTAGAAACATGAGCTGAAGACCAGGAGAAACATGCCTGATTATGCATTTAGGTATGCTGGTATTTCATCCTCTTCACCAGATGTGCCTTATGTCAGCTAGACACTCTGTGACTCAGTTTCCTTGACTATAAAACAGGGCCACACTGACAAATCTGGTTTTGACACAGCGATGTCATCTCAAATCAATGGTTTTAGAAAAACACAGGACATCCTCTGGCCCCAGCATCTATCAATAACATACCATGTCTCTTGGTAAAGATTGTTATTACAATGACGAGGAAGCCACAAGCTCTGCTTCACAGAGCATTTCCTAAACTTTGGAAAGCAGCATATTCTTTCATGTAGCAGCCTCCCTTCGCCCTTACCATGCGCCCACTGCAGATGCTGCTTAACGGTGCCAAAGACTTCAGCACTACACATCTCTCATGGTTTGCAGTTTTATAGCTCATCCTTCCCTCCGTGCTCCAACTATGACTTTCCACCACTCCTGCCCCACAGCTGTGAGAAATGCTGGTATGCTCTGCAGAAGAAGACACTTCCCCTCTGTACTTAATCACTTGGATGAACACTGAAATAATTTAAACCTCAGCATTAACCCTCTTATCAATGGAGTTGGAGCAAGCAGTCGTTGAGGGGAGTTTAAGCACGTCCCAGTGCAATTGGGACATGGCAGGAACGTGCTCACGGGCACCTACCACGGCTCAGATGACAAGAAGTAAATTGTTACATCAAGCTGTCTGGATGATTTCTGACTGCTGACCCACACCCCCAGGCTGCCATAGCTGCTTTGGATATATTTGCTGCTGTTTCAGAGTTTCTACCACAAATGATTATTCTGTTTTAGTGAAAGTTGAGAATCTAGAGAGGTAGTGCAGTCCTCTGCCCAATCCAGCCAGCCCACAAAGCACCCCAAAGTGCCACCCACCCTGCCTGAGAGGCTGTAATTCAAAAACCAATTCCAAGAAATGGAAAATAGACAAAGAGGCAGTAAAATGTATCAAATAAACCTTAACACTGTCTTAACACTGGAGAACACCCGGTCCACCCTCTCCACACACAAAGCGCCTGGATAAGAGCAGCCAGATCCCAAACTACACCAGCTTATCAGGACACCATAAGGTAGAAGAGCAGATCTGGAAGCTGCAAGCCAAATGCATCCCACAAAGCACTGCACTGCTGGAGGCAGCTGCCCTCATCTTTACAGCAGATGTCCATTTGATAGCTTTGATGCCTGGTGTGACATGCCCCATCACCAACTCATCTAAAATAGAGCAGATCCCACGGGCTTTATCTCAATCTCCTTTTCTGTGGCCCAGCAGGTATGGATGCAGCCAGAATTAACCCAGTGAAGATGAGAAGCTGCCTTTGGTGCTCTTGCTTACACCTCCTCCCATGCACAAATCCCTCTACTTGCATGAATCCAGCTTGTGTCCAGAGGGCTTCTGGACAAAATAAAGCTTTGCCCTTGGGAAAGCTCCTTCCCCATTGCTATTTCCTTCTGCTGGTGCTCTCTCTTCATGCAGCATCCTCACGAGTAGCTCCACATCCATGGCAGCTCCCTCTCACCACCCCTCACCCATAGTCCCAACCCCTCCTTCCAGTCCTCGCTGCACTTTGCCAGCATCCCACTTGTCTCACCTCAACTGCTCTGGCATCTAAACCCAAATTGTTTCCAATGCCTGGATGACCCTGGTCCATCATGCAATCTTCCTCCAACCTCAGCTTAGACTGCACTACATCCTCACCACCTCAACTGTCTCACAGCATTGTCCTCTACTTAAGACACCCAGTTTTTCCTCAGCTCATGTGGCTACCTCTCAAACAATTTATTTCTCTCTTCTGAAACTTCTTTTCTCCCTGGGATCTTTATTTCTCTTATCAACATCAAAACTAGACTTCCAGTCTTTCCCACAGTTTATTCTTATTTCTTCTGTTCAACACAGACTGTCCCTCATCTTGCCAGCCCACGGCAGAAAACCCCAGGGCACAAAACATCCCAGAAAACTATCCTAGCCAGCCAAACATCGACTGTGTCTTCCCAATGACTCACCAGACTGTCCATCCCACCCAACTGGCAGTTTTCTTCTAGCCCCTGAGCACCTTGTCATGGCCATCTCCAAGCACCTTCATCCAGTCTCTCTCTGCCATGACTGAAATCCCCTTCTAAACCTGTGTATCAAAACCCAGCCCTTCCACCTCAGCAAGCTCTCTTCCAGCTCCCTCAATTCCTATAACCAGGATTCAAGTCTCATGGTGGCCTCCTCCACCCTTGACTGGATTGTCTGGTGCACCTTTAGAGTCACAGCTGCTCCCAGACTCTTCACTCTGAACACTGCCTTCCATCCTTACCAGGTTCTTCCATTGCTTATCCCTCCTCAGGCCACTGCCATCCTGGTCCACAGCCCCACCAAGCACCCACCTTCCATCACACCTTCCACACCTTGACTGAATCAACTCCAGCCATAATGATTCCATCCCAACAAAGACATCCCCACAGCATTCTTGAGCCTCCCAGCCTCTGCTAGACCTGATTCACAGAATCACAAAGTCAATTAGATTGGAAAAGACCTCAGAGATCATCAAGTCCAAGCTATGACTGAACACTTACATGTCAACTAGAGCACGGCACCAAGTGCCATGTCCGATCTTTCCAATCTTTCCCTAAACACATCCAGGGGTGGTGATTCCACCACCTCCCTGGGCAGTCCTTTACAACATCACTCTTTCTGTTCATATTCAATATTCAGTCTGAGCCTCCCCTAGCACAGCTCAAGGCTACTTCCTCCTGTCCTGTCACTTGGGTCACTTCTGCCTGGGAGAAGAGGCAAATCCTCACCTGTCTGCAATCTCCTTTCAGGTAGCTGGAAAGTGATAAGGTCACCCCTGAGCTTCCTCTTCTTCAGACTGCACAATCCCAGCTCCTTCAGCCACTCCTCATGGGACTTGTGGTCCAGGCCCTTCACCAGTTCTGTTGCCTTTTTTGGGACTCAACCTCCTTTTTTGTGTCCCCCATAATGTCTGGGTGCTGCCAGGGCTCCAATCACAGCCAGGGTCTTCCATGGTTGGAGGCCCCAAACTTACACTGTTCTCATCCCTTTCTAAGGGTGCCCAAACCTGCACAGCCCCAGCCTCCCATGCCTGACTGGCACCACAGGTGGGCACTCAGACCCCAGGCCAGCCAGACTCCCCAGGTGGGTGTCACACAATCACAGCATGGGTCAGGCTGCAAAGGACCACAGTCAGTCAGCTGGTCCAACCTCCTGCTCAGGCAGGGTCATCCTTGAGCACAAGATCGTGTCCAGATGGTTCTGGAATATCTCCAGTGAGGGAGACTCCACAAACTCTGGGCAATCTGTTCCAGTGTGTGGTCACCCACATAGCAAAGTTCTTTCTTGTATTCGGGTGGAATTTCCTGTGCATCAGTTTCTGTCCTTTGCCTCCTGTCCTACTGCACCGAGCAGAGCCTGGCTCGGCCCTCCTGGTTCCATCGCCTTGGCACCCCCTCTCATGGCCCGAGGCCTGCCCGTGCCTGCCATGAGCCCTGTCGGGCCCGACAGACCCTCCGGCCCCCATCATCCCACGCTCCGCGTGAGGATCATCCATGGCCTCAGGCGCCCCTGGTCGCGCTGGCCGTGGCCCCCCACCCCACCCCGCCCCGCTGGCCCTGGCCCGGGCCCCAGCCCCGCTCGCCCCCGCTCACCCCCGCCCGGCTCACCATCCTCGGCGCGGCCCGGGGTTACCATGGGCAACTGCGTCACACCCACCCCGCGCGCCGACGTGCCCGCGCCGGGGGGAGGAGCCAACGGCGGCTCCGCCCCCAAACGGCGCACGCGTACGAGGGCGGCCCCGCCGGGGAGGTGGGCGCGGCCACTCGGAGCTCTGTGATTGGCTGAGAGCGGCCACGCGTCGGAGCGCGGGGGCGGGTGAGCGACACGTGGGCGGGAGGCGGGAGAGGGGCCTGGGACCGCAGGTGGGGACACGTGGGGACGCGATGGGACGGGCTGGGCTGGGCTGGGCTGGGCTGGGGCGGGGCCGTGCCGTGCCGTGCCGTGCCGTGCCGTGCCGTGCCGGGCTGGGCTGTGTTGAGCAGTGCCGAGTCGACATAAAGCGTGCGGAGCTGCGCTGGAGGTGTGCCGGGGCTATGCCAGGCCGAGTTGTGCTGTGCCTTACAGAGAAGGGCAAGGAAATTAGTGAAGTCTGGAGCTCAAGTCTTATGAGGAGTGGCTGAGTGAGCTGAGAGTGTTTAACCTGGAGAAAAGGCTCAGGGGGACCTTATCGCTGTCTACAACTACCTTTGAAAGGAGGTTGTAGCCTGCTGGGAGCGGGCCTCTTCTCACAGGCAACCAGCGACAGGATGAGAGGATATAGTCTGAAGCTGTGCTAGGGGAGGTTCAGGTTGGACATTAGTAAGAATTTCTTTACAGAAGGGTGATTAGATACTGGAAAAGACTACCGAGGGAGGTGGTGGAGTCACAGTCCCTGCAGGTGTTTTAGGAAAGACTGAACCAGTGCCATGCTGTAGTTTGACATGGTGGTGTTTGGTCATAGGTTGCACTCAGATGATCTCAGAAATACTTTCCCGCCTAATTAATTTTGTGATTCTGTGCTGTGCAACAGTGGGGGTGTGGCGCAGCACCCCAGGGAGCATGCAGGGAAATTCCATGGCAGTGCAGAGTGGCATTAGAGGGATGTGCAGGATGGTGCCATGGGGGCACAGCACAGTGTGGGGGTGCTGTGCTCTGCACACACAGAGGCTGCAGAGTAGTGCCCCTGTAGGAGTGCCTGCAGGGCAGCCTTCTGGAGGGTTGAGTAGGGCCCTACAGTGCTGTGCAGCACTATACCACCCCAAGGAGAGGGTGCCAGGTGCTGTGGGGTGCACCACAAGTAGGGCAACCCAAAGCAAGGAGGGTGATGTGTGAAGGAGCAGCCTGACTGCAGTGTTCTGCTGATAGCAGGAGTGCAGGGGCCTCCTGGGCTCAGGGCTGCTGAAAGTCCAATTTTCCTGTTAAACATAAACCTGCCATGGCTCTCACCCAGCTGACTGCTCCTGTGGCCGTGGCAGACATGCACTCAATGAGCAAGCAAGGCAGGATCATACTGAGTGGCCTTTTCCCCCTGCCCAGACCTACACAAAGATGGCCACAGTTTCCCTTGGCTTCAACATCGACTCCCCACGCTGGGACCAGAGCACCTTTGTGGGGCGCCTGAAGCACTTTCTCAACATCACCGACCCTCGGACAGTGCTGGTGCCGGAGGAGGAGCTGGACCGGGCCAAGGCCCTGGTGGAGGGCTGCAGGTGAGGGGCAGGGGTGCAGCAGGGGCAGGCACCATCCCTGCGTTCATAGCTATGCCAACCACAGTGCAGTGTTGCAGGGGGATGGAGGCAGTCATTCTCAAGGAGGTATGCTGTGATGTAACATCTGTTGCAGGTAGTTTTGGGGGAATTTCCCAGGCTTCTCCCAGGAGCCTCAAGCTGTGACATGCATCCTTCTCAAGAGATGTTTCCCCTGCCTTTCATGTGGTGCCCGGAGCTCTGTGCCTCGGCAGTGCCGGGTGCTGGTGGGACTGTGCAGCTTCCCCTGATGGTCTTTGGGCTTGCAGGGCTGGGCTGGTGCCACCAGGAAGCAGCCAGGAGCAGCTGCTCTATGCCAAGAAGCTGTACGACTCAGCCTTCCACCCTGACAGTGGTGAGAAGATGAACCTCATTGGGAGGATGTCCTTCCAGGTGCCGGGGGGCATGGCCATCACTGGCTGCATGCTCCAGTTCTATCGGTGAGTTCCTGGGTACACCAGATTGGGGAAACAGCCCTGACAGCCCCCAGCCCCTCTCAAACTCCCCGGTGGCCAGAGCATGGCCAGGCCACCTCCTCTGGGGCTGAGTGCTACCCAGTGCATGCCCATGGCTGCTGTGCTTGCCTGTGTGCTCAAGCCCAGTGTCTCTGGGCTCTGTCCCCAGTGCCCAGCCTGTGGTAGAAGCACCACAGATCCCGCTGGCCCCTGGCATGGCTGGTGATAGTCTCACCTCACCCTGAGCTCAGCTGAGCTCAGTGCCCCTGTAATGATTAATGCAACCAAATCCTACTTGGCTCCTGCTCTTGGTCTGTGGCCCATGGCAGTCTTTGGAACTGAGGACCAAATGTGCCCCTAGGCCAGGCTGCTTCAGCATCCCCACCCCTGCTGACAGCTCTATCCATTTCCCTTCTCCACCCCCTTGCATTCCAAAGCATGCTTAGACCCACATCTCCTGCCCCACGTCAGTGTCCCTGAGACAGCAGTAAAGACCCAGGCACCCTTGTTCCCCAGAGCCACTTCTGTCCCCATGTGTCCCCTCCTTGCTGCTTGCTTTGACAAAGGCTTATCTCAGCCCAGCAGAGGATGGCTGCCACCCTGCTGAGAGCCATGTTCTCCCACCCCTGCCCAAGTGCCTTGCACAACTGAGCCCCCCCCTTCCCTTGCTCCCCAGGGCAACCAGAACTCCTGGGATCATTTCCCAGCTCTGCCATTAGCTTGTCACTTTGCCACAGTTCCTGCCAAAGTTTCCCTATGGAATCACCATGATGAGTGGATTGCAGGCATCTTGGCTGTCTCCTTGCCAAACCTGGCCACGGGCACAGCCCAGATGTCCCTGACAGCCCTTTGGTGCTCTCCTGGTCCCTTCCCTCCACAGGACAGTGCCTGCTGTGATTTTCTGGCAGTGGGTGAACCAGTCGTTCAATGCCTTTGTCAACTACACCAACCGCAACGCTGCTTCCCCCATCTCTCTGAGGTGAGCGGCCCCCACAGGATGGAGTGTGTCCATTTGATGCACCCCTGGATGCCCTGTAAAGACCCCTTATGCCGTGTCTTGGGCACAGAAGGAGCAGGGCTGAGTCAGAGTTGGTGATTCTGTTGTCTCCCTGTTGTCTCCCTTCACCCCAGGCAAATTGGGGTGGCTTATGTCACGGCCACTGGTGCAGCCCTGGCCACCGCAGTGGGACTCAACCTCTACACCAAGGTAGGCCAGGCCAGGGCCAGGTGGGGCAGCTGGGCACATCCTGCTCTCCTGTGCTGATGCCAGCCTGTTTCCTGCAGCGAGCCCCTCCCTTGCTGGCCCGCTGGGTCCCATTTGCAGCTGTGGCTGCTGCCAACTGTGTCAATATCCCCATGATGCGGCAACAGTAAGTGTCACACGTGGCTGGGGCACTTGAGGGACCCAGCTCCCTCCAAAGGCAAGCTGGGCTGCCTGGCCTTCCTGCCTTGGATTCCCATCCTGGGAGCTGGAGGGAGGTGAACTGGGGTCTATGCATTTGCAGTGCTGTGTCTGTGGTGGAGGGTGCTGGGTAGGATAGCTCAGCCTCCACCTAGAGCAGGAGGGGGATTTTTGGCTGAGGATAGCTGTTCTGGAATCTGTGCTGGAAGTTCCCTTGGACCCAAAGATCTGCATGTCATGAGAGAACCCCAGCCCATGATATAGTGATGCTGGGACACCCCAGTTGGGGTCCTTGTGGTGACCTATGTCTGCTGCTTTGGAGTTTCCCACAAGTCACAGCACAAGGAGCTCAGGTGCTGTGTGAGGGACTGTGCCCTGGCTCAGCTGCATATCCCAGGCAGTGTCTGTCCCTAGCACGGCCAGATCCTGCTTGCAGCTGTGCCCTGAAGATGGCAGCATCGGCTGAGCTGGGGACCACGCTGCCCCAGGGTGCTGGAGCCCCGGGCAACCGGGTCTGCTGTGTACAGAGAACTCCCCTGGCATCCCCTTACCCTGTTGCTGTGTCCTCATGCTTTCCCGGCCATCCCATCCTCCACTCACAGCTGCCTGTGCCCTTCAGGGAGATCATCAACGGGATCACAGTGACAGATGAGAACAACAACGAGCTCGGATGCTCCAGGGTGAGTCTGGGGATGGGGATACGGGTTGGGGCATGGCACTGCTGGAGCTCACCTGCTGATTTTGCTTGCAGAGGGCAGCAGTGAAGGGCATCGCACAGGTTGTGCTCTCCAGGATCACCATGGCAGCACCAGGCATGAGTGAGTGTGGGGCAGGAGGGTGCACAACTGAACTGGGGACTCTCCAGGACCCACCACTTTGCCCTGCCCTGCTTGAGTTTCCCTCATGAAGAAGAGGAAGGGTGGCCCTACATCCAGATGGCATTTGCTCTCCTCATCCAGCCATTCCCATCAGATGCTTCCCAGTCCCCTCCATGCCAAACCACAGCCTGGGAGACAGGGGGTGCTCCTATGGCAGTTTGGCCCCACAAGGATGCATCTCATGCTCTTTGGCCCTAGCCCCTCACCCTGCAGCCCAGCACCCCCTCTGCTCCTGAGACTCTTGACATGCTGCAAGCCCAGAAGGAAGGACAGAAGCATGAGGAGCACAGACCATGCTGCCTGGGTGATGGATGTGTGGGGGTCTTGTGTCAGGTCCTTGCTGTCGACAAACACCCAGTAGCCCCCAGCATAACTAGCTGCTGCCATGGCCTCCAGGTGGATGGTCCTGCTGGGACAGCCCTGCAGGCTGGCTAGCAGGATAGCTGTTCTGGGATCTGGGCTGACCTTTGCTCTCTGTACCTAGTTATTTTGCCCATCATCATGGAGCGGCTGGAGAAATTCCCCTTCATGCAGGTGAGTGCATGTTTCTCCTGCCAGTGGGTTCTGTGGTGCCCCAGCCCTGCTTCCCAGCTGCTGATATGCTGGGGATCAAATGGGGAGTTGCAGAGCCTGGCTTGCTTTGCTCCCTACTTCAGTCATTGATGCACCAATGGCCTCTCAAGTGACATGAGGAGGCTGTGGGAGGGTGACAGGGTTTGGTGCACACCAGAGGTGTTGGGCATTCAGCCCTACTGAGGGGAGAAATCTGCCCACCCTGTGAGTGGGTCTTGTGGTGAGACCAGGAGCTCATTCCTGGCTCTTCTCTTGCAGCGGATCCGGGTTCTCCACGGGCCTCTGCAGGTGCTGCTCTGCGGGGGCTTGTAAGTATCTCACTGCTCAATTGCCTGTGAGTGCCTGGAGTACAGCTCCAAAGAGATGCTTCAAAAAATACCTCTTTCCCAGAAGGGATCGCAAATCTGCTTACCTTTGAGCTTGGGCTTTCCCCGGTTATTGGGAATCATGGGGTGTGAGCAGATCCTCTTGGGCTGAAATTCCTATGGCTGAAGGGCAAACAGGCTGGGATCCCCAAGACTAATGCTCTGCTCTTCTCTGTCCCACAGCCTCCTGTTCATGGTGCCAGCAGCCTGCGCCCTCTTCCCCCAGAGATGGTACCTGTTCCACTGTTTCCCCTCTTGCATGGGATCTCAGGAGCCTTCTTCCTCCGCTAGTTCTTCTCTGCCCATCCCAGGCAAAGCATGATGGGCACCCACCCTTCAACCCAAGGCAGTGCCTGCCTGTACACGCTGGTGCTCAGGGCAGCAGGAGAGCATATGGTTCCCCTGCTCTGTGAGCTCTGTGCTGGGAGTGACAGGACACCCAGCTCCATGGGCAGCTCTCTGCCTTCCAGCACTGGGAGGGGAAGGTGGTGGGTCTTGCCATGAGCCTGCAAGATCTCAGGGACTGTAGAGGACCTCATATGGCAATGGGGAGGGGAGGGTGGCTTGACTGGTGGTTGGGGAGAAGGATCATGGCTCTCAGTGTGTATCCCCCTCTCTCCACAGCTCCCTTGCACTGGCTGATCTCGAGATGGAGCTGCGTGACAGTATCGTGGCCAAGCATGGGGACAAAGTGCCTTACGTCTATTTTAACAAAGGACTGTGAATGGAGACTACCTCAGGAACCATTGCACCCCTCTGGCCTCCTGCCACCACCAATCCCATGTCCCCTGAGCAGGGTCAGAGGCACAGCCCAGTCCAGATCTGCTCCCCCACCCAGCACTTTCTCTGCAGCCTTCTTCCACTATAGAATCAGGATCTGACTTTGTGTGTCCAGCTTGCAGCACTTTTGCTTGTCCTGAGCCATCCCCATCTGCTGCTGGCCATGTCTCAGCCTTGCCATGTCCCTCTTGCCCTGGGGGATGCCTGTGCTTCCTGTGCCTTCCTTTGGCCCAGCCTGTCTGGGCCTCACTGGGTTTGGCCCCAAGAGGCATGAGGCACTCTCCCTTGGGGCTCAGAGCACAGTTCTACCTCCAAAAGCAGATATCCTGCCATTGTACCAGCAACCAAACCACATTCCTGCCTTAAACTATCACAGTAGCCTCTTCCCAAGAGCTGGATCATGTCTTGGCAGGTGTGAAGGAACCTGCTCTCTCTGCGCCACGAGAGTGAACATCCCAAAGTCCAAAGACCAATGCTTGGACTATGCATTCCTTGCTCTCAGGTTCAGGTTCTATTCACTCTGTGTTTGCCACCATCTAGGAAAGAAACAGCTAATTGTTTTTAGCTCTAATTTTTTCATTCCTTTGAGCACTGTCACCCTTGTCCTATATCTCTTATCCCCATGGTAGAACCATGAAACTACAGCTTTAGGGGACAATTGTCTCTGTACCCCCTTGACATGGGGAAGAGGACACAAATCACAGAATTGTTAGGGTTGGAAGGACCTCTGGAGGTCATCTATTCCAGTCCCCCTGCTGAGGCAGGATCAGTAGAGCAGGTTACACAGGAATGAATTCAGGTGAGTTTTGAGTATCTCCAGAGAGGGAGATTCCACAACCTGCCTGGGCAGCCTGTTCCAGTGCTTTGCCATACTCAGTGTAATGAATTTCTTCCTCATGTTGAGGTGGAACTTCTTGTGATTTAGTTTATGGCCATTGCTCCTTGTCCTGTCACTGGGCACCACTGAAAAGAGCCTGGTATCATGCCCATGGCACCTGCCTTTGAGACATTTATATGCATAGATGAGATCCCTTTCAGTCTTCTCCAGACTGAACAGGCCTGGCTCCCACAATCTCTCCTCATAAAAGACATTCCAAATCCCTCATCATCTTTGTGGCCCTTCACTGAACACTCTCCAGTAGCTCCTCTCTTTCTTGTCACAGAGCTGTCAGGGCATTAATTCGGGCTCTGAATAGCATCACTGCAAACAACAGAGGAAGGTTGAAAAATAAATGTGGTAATTTTTAAAAGAGAGCTGTGAGTTGTGTTTAAAAAACAGCTGTGGGTTGTGCTTCTGGCTGATCTCTGTTTCTAGTTCTCTGGGCTGGGCTTTTACATGGCTCTCATGCTTGCCTTGGAAGGGAAAGGTGTGGGCTTTGTGACTGACCAAACATCAGGGTGAGGGTGAGCAAAGGGACCAGGAGAAGGAGGAAGAGTGTAAGGAATGGCATGAGCTCTGAAATGCTTGGGCATTCAATGGCAGCCTTCCCCAAGAGGTTCTTGGGGCTGCAAAGTCCCATGGCACAAGTGACAAAAGGTGATTGTCCTATGTTCACAGTGACACTTATCCTCTTGCAGGGCCTGGGAGGACACTGGGTGACCCTTCCTACACCCATGGGTGCTGTTTATCTTCATGGCCAGGCAGAGTTTCATGATGCTATCTTGGGTCTGCCATGAGGCCTCTCCCATCCCAAAGGAGAGCAGCTTGAGTGTGCTGCAGCCTAGTTTGGGGGAGAAAGGAGCCCAGATCCTGGACTAAAGCCCCGGCTTTCAATCAGCTGCATCCAGGCTCTCTGCTGATGAACATCCCTTGATGGGACAAGCATGTTTCTAACAAAGCCACATGACGTGGCTGCTCTGAGAGCCCCATGGCCCAGTGGATGATCCATGCTTCTTCCTCCTCAGCGATATGTGTCAGATCTCTAGCAGCATTCTCACATCAGCCACATGCCTGAGTAGGGATATATTACCCACTCTGCTCCTTTAGAGAGGGCAGCCAAACCCAAAAGGTACTTCTTAAAGTGCCAAGCTGTATCCACAGCAAGTTTGCTTCTGCCAAAGCTGCAGTAGGCAAAGGATGATGTCTCCAACCACATGTAGCTACTGCTAGAAAGCTGTAAAAGAGCTCTGAAATAATTAATACCTGAGCAGAAAGTAGGAAAACATGTTCAAACTTGTATATCTATTCCCTGGGCATTATTAGATCTCTTGTTAAAGCACAATTAAAGTAATAGATAAGGACATGAAATGAAACAGATGTCGCTCCTGTTGGGAGTGGAGAGAAGCCACATGGACACATCTCTGCTCCCTCCTTTTCTTAAGCCTCTTAGCTCCACTGCTCTTGTCCTACACCCAAAACACCTGTGAGGACTTTTCTAAAAGTACCTGTAGCAGTCTTCTGGGTCCAAGGTGCCTCTGGGCTTGGAGCATGGCAATGTTTGTAAAATGATGTGCTGTAGCACCCGAAAACTTCCCATTCCCTGTTCTTGCTGTTCACCCTTCCTGCCTTGGCAGTTTGGAGGTCCTGGCAGGGCAGGGAGCTCTGTGGCCAGTGATGCTGGGACAGCAGCCACATGAAGCCAAGCCTGGGACGGTGGCAGCAAAGCCTCAGCTTTTTTTGCCACTCCCTTTTTCCTGTCCCTAGTTGTACTAGAGGGGCAATGGAGCATGGAGACCCCCTGAAGTGCTATTGCCATCTCACATCAGCTCTTCCCCTGCCCTGGGGAGTGGGACACGGTGAAGTTCATTGCTTATGGACAGAGTAAGAGGTTTGCTCTGGGCTTGTAGAATTGGCAAGCCATCCTCAAGGCAGACCTTTCCTCCCGCCTCCCTGAGCTTATAGCAGTGGATTCCCTCTTCAGATCGACATGGATTTATGCCAGCTGACAGTTCAGCTCAGCAGGGTTTCTAGGTTTCTAGGTTGTAGCTGGAATCTCCCCCGAGGATTCAAATCATCTCAACAACTCACATCACTCTGGACATGGTCACTGCAGCCAGTGCCTGCCAGCCCTCCCCAGAACCACAGTAAGTCAGCAGCCTGCCTTGGTCTCACTGGGGAGCAGAGGAGCTGCTGCAAAGCTGTGGCCAGCCTGGCCTCTATTTCCCATTGCAACAGGAAGGAAACCTCATTGCAGAGTCAGAGCCAGACGCATCCCTGCTTGGGAAGAGCAGAAAGTGTTAATTGCTCTCCAACAATGAGTCACACCTGATCTGGGCTTGTCCTGTGCTCCCGTGAACTCCATGCTTTCTCCCTGCTGTGCCTCTAATTTCAGGGCTAGCTGGGAACAGGAATAAAGCTCCTTTAATAACTGTGTATGGTGGAAATATCAGTGTTCCAGCACGTTTACTTCAAATGACAAAATTGCTACACTGGCCTGCAGCAGAGCCTGAGTAGGGGCTGAGGAGGCTGCTGGGCTCCTTCAAGCACTGGGAGTCCTACCTGGAGGGCTTGGCCAAGGGCTGGTAGAGGCCGGGATCTGGCTGCCACAGGAAGAGGAGTGAGCATGCTGAAGGTGTGATGGGTGAACGTCTGCTGGCCCACACCAGCAGCAGGTAGGTGAGCTGATCTGGATAGGAAAAACTCAGGGCAGGAGATAAGCTGCTAAATCAATTATTTTTTCTGCCCTTTCTTAATGTGTTATCTGAGTATCTGATTAACCTCATCGTGCCAATCCAGCATGAAGGCTGTCTGGCACGCTGGGAATGGCAGTGTAGAAACCTGCTGACACTGCCCCGGAAACACGGGCTGTCTCTTCGGAGCTGTGAATCAATGCCAAGTGCTGATGCCCCGACTCCTGCTGTGATCCTGCGGGATCACTATGTGGGGACATGCTGGGACATAGCCGCAGCGGGAGATCCTCTTCTCAATGCTGCTCATGTCTCCCAGTGGTGCTGGCACCAACACATCGCTACCCACTGGATGCCTTGAGTCCCGTGCCATGCCACTGCTGCCATGCCAGCACCCTCTCCATGCCGCACTTCCCGGTGTGCCCCAGCTCCGGGCGGGCTGCTGGGGTTTGGGACAATGTGAGTGCACTGGGGAGGAGGCTGAGCAGGGGTTATGCCGAGCAGGAGAGACCAGCTGAATGGAGGATGAGTGTCTGGCGGCCACAGGGAGGCTGTGGCTGTGGAGGAGGATGCCTGTGAACCCTCTTTTCGCGGTGCGCAGTTGTGCTCACAGGGCCCCATTAAAGGGGTGAGTGTGTGCGTTCAGCCCTCACACCCCTCTCCAGACAGTTCCGCCACTCACAACATGGCGGCCGGAGTACAGCCGCAGGCTACCTCCGCTCTGTGCCACACTCAAGATGGCAACTCCCTGTGCGCAGACCCGCCCCTCCCGGTTTTACCCTAAGCGACATCGCGCTGAATCAATGGCAAGCCGAAAGCCCCGTCGGCCGCCCAATAGACGAGTGTCGAGGGCGGGTCCGGGCGCGGGGTGCCCCTGGGCTCCCGTCCCGGGCCGCAGTCGGGCCGGGGAGGCGGGAGCGGGGGGTGGGGGGGATGGCGAGGAGGCTCCGCGCCGCCATGGCCCTGCTGCTGCTCCAGGCCCTGCCCGAGGGGCTGCCCGCCGGCGCGGAGCCCGCCCAGGTATGGGGGGGCCGCTCGGGGGGCTCTGGGGTCGCGCCGTGCCGTGCCGGGGGCTGCGTCCCTGGGAAAGGGGGTGGCTGTGAGTGCGGGGGGCTGCGCCGGCCCTTGGGGCAGAGGGTCCGGCGGGGCTGACAGGGTGTGCGTGAGGTGCCAGGGGGAAGAGGCTTTTGGGGGCCCGCCTAAGGTTTGGGGAGCCCTGTGACTTGAGTAAAGCTGGAGGAGATAGAGTGCCTTGGGTCTGGTGGTTCCTGTGTACCGTGGGGATGGAGAGGTAGTATAGGAATCCAGGCACGGGTGGCAGTGCCGCTTGCAGGGGCTTTGTGCGGCAGAGTGGCTGCAGGACGAAGGAAAAAGGTGTTTGACTGGACACCAAGGAAAAGGTGGCTG